GTGTTTACAGGAAACCCACACATTCAAACAGATATTTGAACTTCCGATCATCCCATCCACCGTATGTCAGTGAAAATAGGATTGGTGAAATGTTTAAGTGACAGAGCACAAAGAGTAAGTAGTACCAAAGAAAATACAAGACAGGAAGTGAGACATATAAGAGAAGCCTTGAAACTTAATAATTACCCTGATAAATTAGTCAAGAAATACGTAGAAAAATGTAAAAAGTAAAATAAATAATGATAGTAGTGATAGTTATAATAATCATAATAATAATATTAATGACCACATGCGTTTCAAACATCTGCTAGAAGACTCCAACAATAAGGAATCTAAATCATCAGTAGTAATTCCATACAAGGAAGGAACCTCGGAAACCACCTTACGCAGAATTCTTAACAAGTCAGGCAGGAATAAATGTGGCTAGAATTCAAACCTACCACACAAACTCAATTAGAAAAAAGCTTTGCCGGTTGAAGGATGAATCCTGTGGAGCCTTTAAAACAAAACATTTTCGTTTATCTAATGCTCTGTCTGCTGAAATGATTGTCAGGTCAAATACATAGGTGAAACTAGTAGAACAGGGTGAGGGAGTCAGACTAGCCAACCATAAATCTAGATTGGTCGACCCGACCGAAATCAACACGCGTAATAGGAATGATTCAACACCTGACCAGCCAGATATCTGGAAAATTCTACTACCTCAATGACGATGACCAATAGGAGAGGACAAAGAAAACTATAAAACTCAATTTTCGAAGTCGTGTGATTATAATTGATGGTGAAATGATTATGAACAGCAATAGTGAATTTTGTTCTAAACTTTGTCGTCCAGTAAATACTAATACTGTTTCACTGACTGACTGTATGTGATACATCTAATAAACAAACTAGTGTGCATTTGCATTTTAGTTAGTCGCACTGCTACATTTACAGTGATACTTCTTTTTGTCTTATTTTTTGTGATATTATGATTGTTTAGTGTAAGAATTCACGGAGAGATGAGCTCATTACATTATGCCATGCATATTTGCATATTTCAGTTTACTTACATTATCAGCTAATTATATTTCTACATCCTGTTTGTGTACACTTTTGACTTATCAAATGCTTGTCAATCATTTAGCTAGCTAACTAAACTGATAAGAAAAAACTGATAATTTATGCAGATATATACGTGCAAGAGTATTTATCGCTTTACGCTTATATATATATACTGATAAGTAAACAAACTACATTGAATTATTATTATTATTGTATCCTTTAATTCCTAGAGGAACATAGGGCTTCAGCTGCGCACCTCCATTGCCTTCTGTTTTCTGCCAACTTTTTCACCCCGCTCCAAGTCCGCCCACACGCTCTCATCTCCTCTTCACATGACCTCCTCCAGGTCACCCTCACCCTGATGACCAACTCGCCGCTTCCCTTTCGGGTTCCACTCGAGCAACCGCTTGTCTAGTGATGTCACTTGATGGTTTCCTCAGAGTATGGCTAGCCAATCCATCTCCATTTCTTCCTGCATATGGCCACAATCGGTTCCTGCTGTGTTCGCTGGTTCGTCATTACCAGAGATTCCTGTTGCTGATCTTTTCTGGCTGGCCATCTGATCTTGAGTATTGAGCGAAGACAACTGTTAATGAAGGTCTGAAGTTTGTTTGAGATGCTCTTAATGACGTGCTGGCCAAGTCTCTGATCCGTATAGTGAGTAGCACTGACTGACTTCACATTGGAGTTGAAAATCCGGATCTTATTTTTCATGCTGAGTGCTGTTGACTTCCACAGAGACTTAAGAGTAATGAAAGCTTGTCTTGCCTTCCCGATCCTCGCTTTGATGGTATCCTCATCAGTTCCGTTCGACTGTAGTTGCAACGAGGCAGGTAAAGGAAGTTGTTTCTTTCAGGTTCCTCCCATTTATGCAGCCTGATTGTTGTCTGTTGTTGTTGCTGCTGTTGGTGTTGGCCTGGAATTTTCATCACGTCTGTATTCTCTATGTTCACCTGAAGGAAGTCCTATCTTCTGTGGATGCTTCTTCAGCCAACTTGTTGCTTATCACTTGCATATCTTCCAGTTTGTGGGAAATCAGACATATACACCACATCGGCGAAGTCGAGATCCTCCAAGTCCTTTTTGTGTGAGTCCACTTTATGCCTGTTTCCTCATTGCCTGCCGCTGTCTGTCTCATTATCCAATCTACTGTAATCAGGAAGATCATTGGCGATAATAGACATCCTTGCCTCACTCCCGTCCTCACTTCGAAGGATTCCGTAAGTTTCTCGATGTGGATTACTTGCCATACAGGCAGCATTGTCGTATAACTGTTGGATAAGATGTATAATTGTTGATAGCACCCCTTTGGTAGAAGCGAAGTAGTTGCCAAATCACCTCCCGATCGACGCTGAGCTATCGAAGGCCTTTTCAATGTCGATGAAGTTGAGGTAGAGAGGTGACTGCCATCCCAAGCTATGTTCAATGATGATCCGTAGAGTGGCGATTTGATCAATCCATGACTCGTTTCTCCTGAATCCAGCCTGTTCCGGTCGAAGTTTTGTATCCAGGCCGGCTTGTTTGATTCTCTCCAAGATGATGCGGCTTAGTATTTTGCTTGGGATGGACAGGAGCATAATTCCGCGCCAGTTTTTGTATTGACTTATGTCTCCTTTCTTTGGTAGTTTGAATAAGTATCCTTTCTTCCAATCCTTGGGTACTTTGCCCTCTTTCCACACCTTCTCCAGTATTGATGTCATCAAGTCTTTTGTTGTTTCTAGGTCCATTTTCAAAGCTTCTGCAGGGATTCTATCTGATCCTCCTGCTTTTTCAACTTTTAGCATCTTGATTGCATTCAGGACTTCCGCTTTCGTCAGGGGGTCGATTGTCACTGGTAGTTCTGCTTACGTTGTTGGTATTGTTGGGTGCGTTGTAGGTGGCGGTCGATTTAGAAGTCTTTTGAAATGTTCAGCCCAGTGTTTTCTTTGCTCCACTTCTTTGGTGTTTGACTTTCCATTGTCATCCTTTACTGGCTTAATCTGTGTCGAAGTTTTGCCCGATAGGTTCCTAGTTGTTTGGTAGAGTGTGGCGAGGTCTCCTTTGCCTGCAGCTTGTTCTGCTTCGCTTGCCATGGTTTCATAATATTTTCTTTTGTCTTCCCTGGCACTCTTCTTCTCTCTTTTGTTCAGTGTATAGTAGCTTGCATTCAACTCCTGTTTTTGTTGCTCGTCAGTGCACTGGATAATCTTTTGTTTCACTGTCCTTCTCTCTTCTATTAGTTTCCAAGTGTCCGTAGTGAGCCACTGTTTGTCCTGTCTCTTTTTTCTGCCTAGAATTTTCTATGCAGGTTTGGCTCCACAGCGTTTTCAAGTTGTTCCAGTGCTTTTCGACGCCTACCTTTTCGCTGGTGTTGATTTGTGTCTCGGCTTTGTCCTTTATGTTTGTAATGATGTCCTTTGTAGCCTGGTCCTTCAGTTTTAGAGTGTTGAACTTGGCTTGTGGTCTGTCTACAGCTCCTGATTCCCTGAAAGCTTTTAATTTGATTTGGATTGTCCCTTGTACGAGATAGTGGTCTGAGCCAACGTCTGCTCCTCTTCTTACTTTTGTGTCCAGTAGGATGCACCTCCACTTCTTTGAGATATATATATATATATATATTTCTCTCCTCAAAAAGGCAAGGTAGCATTGTAACGACAGAAGACAAGGGTCAGTCGTCAGATTGTTCATCAATGAAATCAACACCTTTTTAAAGATTTTTATGTACATTATTATAGATTGTTGTTAGCAGACAAACACAGTCTTTTGATTGGTTATTTCTGTTTGTGGCTGTTTCTTGAAGGTCAGATCATCTGCCATCTGATAATTATATCCGCCTTTGCAACTAAAGTCCTCTGTGATTTGTTGTTAAGTCAGTTTTGTTCCTCTTTTTTATACTCATGACAAATATTTGGGACATAAACATTAGCGTAAATTACTGTCCACCAGTTTTTGGCTAGCAGACGGCTCTCACCACAGTATATGTGGGAGGTGTACGACAAACTGTACATTCTACTTCACTACATACTTCACGCTCGTGTTAAGAGTGATGAATGTATTTCATTCCGTTGGCTGACTGTAAGTTATCTTGTAGGAATTTGAATATGGACATTATAATAAAGATTTTTGTATTCCCCAATGAATGAAAAACAAAACGATACTGTTTTTACTGACGTTTCGCTATTTAATGCTGCTAATAGCTTTATCAAAGTATTATTAAACCGGAATTTACAAAATCTCAGCATATATATAACAAAGAGTTAAGGGGTGAGAAAGTAGACTTAGGTCAACTTAAAAGGAGGACATATTGAAAGTCAGAATAACAATGAAGATCGTTCAAACCAAATATCAAAGGTAACAGTATATCTGTTATGATATCAAAACAAAGTTTACTAACTTGATCATCGTTCGTCAGCATGGGGTCATTTTTCGTTGTCAGTTTGGTCAGTTGGTAAAGATAACAAAACCAAGTGTAGATTGTTGGATTTGCTCAGTGTGTAAAATTATAAAAGCACTGTGTGTCTACATAATGAACTTGCTTATCACATTCGTGTTGATCTTGTCACTTCATGGGGGAGATTAGGGGGGGCCGTGTTGTAACCAGATCACGTTCTGTTTTAGTCCATCATTTCTATTCAGTTCAGACCATCTGGATTGTATTTGATATGAAGTGCTTCTGATACTGGACGTTCTTTGTGAATTCTGAAATGTTTTCTCTGGATGACGATTTCACTAGTGTCAAAATCAATTTTATGGCCCGATTCTGTAGCATGTAGACCTTTGGCTGGATTTTTGGGTGGTCGAAGGGATACTCTGCGGTTTTCATTTCTTCTGATTTTGATTTCTCTCCGGTGATGTTTGTCCGACGTATATCGCATCACATTCCAAGCAAGCCTTTATTTTACAGACTCAATTAGATGGAGAATCTTTTATTGATTTGGTCTTTTATATGGACAAGGTTGTTTCGTAGTGTGCCTATCTGGTTTTTTGAAGAAAACTTTAATGTCGAGCTGATTGAGTGCTCTTCTGATATCGTCTGACGTCCCTGCGCTGTATGGAATGACGACTGTTGATGTCCATGTTTTCGGAATGCGTTTTCGGCCATATTTAATGTCTGTGCTGATTTTGTTGATGAAGTTCCTTGGGAAGTTGTTTTGCTTGAGGAGAATTTCATTAATGTTTGATATTTCTTCCTCTTTTCCTTGCTCATCCGTTATCAGAGAGTGTGCTCGTCTAAGAAGACTTGAAACAACTGAAGTATTTGCGCTGATGGGATGTGATGATCTGAAGTCTAAACATATGTTGTTGGAGTGGGTTTTCTTCCTGAATATGGATACACTAAAATCTCCCGTTTTCCTTTCTCTTAACTAGGCAGTCTAGAAATGGGAGTAGTTCACCGATGTCTGATTCTGCTTCCGAAGTGAACTGGAATTTGGGAGTTACACAGTTTATTTTCTCCAGGAATGAATTGTGTAGATCTCGTTTTGGTACCACAAAAGTATCATCCACATATCTTAACAATATCGTTTTGTTTTTCATTCATTGGGAAATAAAAAAACCTTTATTATAATGAACCATTTAACAAGTTTATGTGTTAGGGATTTGCACATTTTCAACTATTGATTTTGTAGGATTTTCGCTTGACTTGATGGAGGATTTCATTATGAGCTGACATCAGTTAGAGAACCACTGGAAAACTGAGTAGGAGTAATGGGCAACCAGCTGTTCCGTCAGCCTAGTTTGGGACTGAGCCTTCAACAGTACGCAATCACCGCCAGGCTTCTAACCCATTGCACATTAACAATAATATAGGACGTGGAGGATTATTGGGTTGTTTTTTGGTAAAAAAAATACATATATTTATGTGTGTGGGGGTGGGGGGTGAATTTACATTCTGATGGTTGTAAAGAGTCAAGTAGATAACTGTTATGTACTCGTCGAGTAGTTAATAGTCCTGACGTGGAAAGAGGGAAATCAGAAGACCACCAGGTTTACGATGATACTTGTATTTTCCAGACAAGGGAGATAAATGTCACACAAGTGTGTGATTGGAAGGGTACTTAGATGTACGAAATGTGTGTAGAAGAATAATAAAGCAAGAGTATATATGAAAATGGCTAATACACATGAACCAATAAGATAACGTCCTACCATGATTGGTTGTAATGTCGTGTGATAATAATAAGGTCATACATTGTTTATTTATTTAGTGGACAGACAAAAGCATATTGTCAGTTATAATGAAATATCGATCCATATATACATAGCAAAATATAATAGACTGTCAAAGACAAAATACACATCATGTGGATACATATCAATAACTACCCCACATATATCTGTTTTTCTATCCTGCCTTTTTTCTACTAGTGATTCAACCCCTAGGAGATTGTTTTTTGTATGAAGTCCATCAAATCAATCACTCCTCTATTTTATCCCATTTCTAGACATTTTTACAAATAAATCCCCATAAAATAGAGTATACACCAATTGAAATGAAGGGTGAATGATTAATTATCCAGTACTATAGTCTTTATCCATACCATCACCCATCAGTAGAAATTAAAGCAGAACATCATTATTGATTATCTCTCTGCTTATCTGTCTGTAAATGAATCACAAAACCTATGCGCTAAAAATGTTGTAGTACCCTACAAACCAGAAACTAACTCAGTATGTTGACTCCATTATGGATAGGATTCTATTTCGATAAACTGTCACACACAATGTAGTGTAGTGTTTGTTATACAGTAAGTAATATTAACTGATCCGACCACACATGCCATTTCGAGCACAGTTTATTATTATTCCCACTCATAATCATCATATCAAGTCACTCACTCGCTCGCTCACACAACTTTCTTGTTTCCTTCATTTTTATACACATGAGTGGAATTGATGATTAGACATTTGAATACAAATCAGTAATATGGGAAAATGTACACTCAGAAATAATAATCATAATAATATGAGTGTTATGAGTGATCAGTTACAACAATCAGATGGGAAATAAGACGAGTGTTTTTGTTTTATAGTCACAATAATAAGTGAGTAACTTGTTAGAATGTTGTGATGATGTACGTGAATTGAATTGAAATAGGATACAATTTAGGATTATTTATTATCCTCCTCTGATTTGACTAACTGAGGGACCGGTGGTAATAATATCTTCCATGCATATCTGTGGTATTTGCATTGAGTCATTTCCGTTGCATGTGTTTGGTGTAGACTCAATGAACCAGACAGGATTCAGTAATCAACCTCTCTCTCTCTCTCCACCTACATAGATTACTTCTTAGAATCTTAACCCTATTGCGTCGTTGTGTGTTAATGCGTGCATGCAGTACAATGTAGTGGTGAGCTTTTTTCTAAATTACTCATCTTCTCGAGTGGGTTTAACCTTTCTTACCTCAGATAAAGTCTTATTTCCCGACAATCTGATTACCCCCGATCTACAAGTTTGTCCTATGTAGGTGGTTGACCTAACTCACAGTTATTTCAAAGTATTTTGTAAATTATATTATTTTTTGTAATTGGGTCAATCGACAGGGTCCTCTAACCTACCTCCAGAGCTTGTCCTAACTGAATGAGTTTGTAGGTTTGAGTGCCACCACTCCAATTCCTGCTTTTTTATTAAGAATCCTAACTAGCGAGTGTCTCAGATGTCCCCTCCCTCCTTATATGGTATAACAGTAGATGACTTATATTCTCTCTTATTTATGTTATCATTACTAGTTTCTCAATTATTTTTCGATTTTGCTTTTGGCCTTTACTGATCTTCCTAATGAATTTCATAGGATAGTTAATTTCTTTAACACCAACGCCTCTTCTCTCTGTTTTATTTCATCATTTAGGTCTTTTCTTGTCCTACTTAGTGCTACTGATCAAAATAGAATCTTACCAAGAATGGAGTTATTTATACTCTACTACCACAGTGGCAAAGTTTTATAATTATATCAATAATAAATATACTGAGTACTACTTTAATTCACTACTAGTATGACCCCTTGTATCCATTTTGGTTTGCAAGTCAGTTTAACTTCGGAAAGAGATCAAGTTAGGAGTTGTAGTTAATTTTCATCTTTGTGTTGTTTTTTGTTGTTATGCTTTGATTACTTACTTTGGCACACACTGAGTTTATCAAACGGACTTCATTTTTTCTTTTCGGTTTAATCGAATTTTTACTTCCATGGTATCCACAATACAGTTTCTCAGAGAATCTTATGAAAAGGTCAGGCTTGTGTACTCGGGGGTTTTGCAACACAAAAGTGTCTTTGGCCATTGAACCCACTGTTTTTAGTATGATTACGTCCTCCTAGCTAGCTAGATAGTTAATTTGCGAAGCTTTCATCGCCCTACCAGGCGACATCTTCCTTTAGTGCATACTTCAACTTGAATTGAAGTAAGCTTTTAGATTTCTCCACGAGTTTATTAATCAACTCTCCCGGTGACCTTCGTATCTACGATCATAAGCTAGCCGTCAAAAGAGTCAACATCTACTCCCTCATACAACTGCATACAAACAACTACGGACATCAATTAGACTGTGACAACCAATATTCAAATATTAGACAGAGGAAACAAACCCAAGAATGCTAGAGAATTTCTAGAAGCCTACCTGGTATTCCAGTGAATCATTACCAATCAATAGACACATCGAGATAGACAAAATTTATCAACTGATAAGAAAGAAATCTCACACACAAAGGATCAAAGTTCAAGTCAAAGAAACAATCTGTTCCAATATCGATACAAGTAGCCTAGAAGGTGTGAAAACACACAAAAAAACCTATCACATCCAAGGTCACCGACCAGGAGAGATGATTAATAAACTCGTGGAGAGTTCGAAAAGTTCACTTCAATTCAAATAGAAGTATTCGCTGAAGATGTTTGTTGTCTAGTAGGACCATGAAAGCTTCGCAAATTAACTATCCAGCCAGCTCAGAGAACACAACCACATCAAAATCATCCACCTAAGCTACAAATCTCTGTTTTGATTTATTTTTTTAACACTGTCTTTTATTTTTACGAGTTGATCATGAATTGATATCACAGTTAGAGAACCACTGAAAACCAGCCACAGGGAGTACTGCCAGACAGCTGTTTCATCAGCCTACTTTGAGAATCATCTGCAGGACGCACCCACTGCACCAGGGTTCGTACCGAGAACCTTCCGGTTACAAGGCAAGCTAGCTGGCTCGTATACCATTCAGTCACTCACTTGGATCCGATTCCATGACCTGCCATTCCATGAATTCTGACTTCAACCAGTTCGTGATTTAGCGGGACTGGCACCAGCCATTGTCGTCGGAGGAACATCCATCCATCCTCACAGGTGACATCTGGATGGACCTCACAATGGTTACAACTTCTCACTAGAACCGACCCCAGGCAACTCCATCCTGTAGCAAGTCAAGTCACTAGCGAGCATCAAATTAATTTTCTATAGTTTTTTGTTTGTAAGAGTTAGTTTTGTTTATTGACGAGTTTGACCACGCACGGATTGATATCAGTTAGAGAACCTGGTTGGTACTCCCTGTAGCTGGTTTTTCAATGGTTCTCTAACTGTGATACCAATTTATGATCAACTCGTAAATAAACAAAACTAACCCCTACAAACAAAACCATAGAAAAACTGTCTTTTATTATTGTGATAATTGATCTTTTCTTTTCTTTCTTTTTGGACTTCTGATCATCCCATCCCATGTCAGTAAAAATAGGATTGTTGGAATGTGTAAGTGACAGAGTACAAAAACTAAGTAGTACCAAGGAAACTCTAAGAGAGGAAGTGATACACGTAAAAGAAGCCTTGAAACTCAATGATTACCCTGATAAATTAGTCAGGAAATATGTAGGGAAATGTAAAAATAAAATAAATAATGATAGTAGCGATAGTCACAATAATAATACATAGATGGGTCAAACTAGTAGAACAGGGTCAGTCAGTCAAACTAGCCTAGCATGGAAACTTAGCAGCGAAATCTAGATTGGTTGACCTGACCGAATAAGATAAGAAATCTAGCGAAGAGTTCAGCAGCTATCTCAAGCACTACATGCAATGGCACGCAATCATAAAACAGGATAGGATAAGATAGATGACTGTTTTAAAATCTAATATCACAGGGTGTAAGGAGGGAGAGATTGATAACAGAAACTTTGCTTATCGAATCAACTGAGAGTGAATACGTGTAATAGGAATGATTCAACTAACACCTGTCCACACAGATATCTGGAAAATTCTACTACCACGCCAATGACGACGACAAATAGTAGAGGACAAAGAAAACTGTAAAACTCAAGTTTCGAAGTCGTGTGATTATAATTGATGGTAAAATGATTATGAACAGCAATAATGAATTGTGTTCTAAACTTTGTCATCCAGTAAGTTATACTAATGCTGTTTCACTCACTCACTGACTGTGTGTGATACATCTAATAAACAAACTAATGTGTAATTACTTACTACCACCACCACCACCACCACCACAGTGCCCACGTTTTTTTACACATATATTAATGTTTCCGAAAACGTTTTCACAG